AGAGCATCTCAGCGTCTCCGTGCCGCGGCCTCCCCTGCACCTTTACCTGCCCCGCACACCACACCTGCTCCGGTTAATTATGGCACCGCATGGGCTAAATCCTGCCTTGTTTAGACATCTTCAGTGGCTGAAGCCCCAACATCTTATTCTGTCTTTCAAGGTCCCCCCCACTCTGAATCCGGCTGACATTTCTACCCTTTGCTTCTACTGTCTATCTGCCCACTCCACTTCTGGTCAGCTGTAGACCACGCCTTGCCACCTCAGGGTCTACCTACCAAGGCCACATCCATCCTTCAGGGACCACACTCAGCCCTTTCCTGACCGTGTCAGCTCAGTAAATTTTCCCTTCTCTAGATTTCAGTTGCTCTTCTCATCAGATCATTAGCATCCGCCACCTTGTAGAAAGAAAATGGCCCCACACCCAAGGTAAGGCGGTCTGGGTCAGAAATCTGTTATCTGATGTGATGAGCAGTTTCTTCTGGGAAGTACCACATATTTCTGGTAACAGGGTTGAGCAATTTCCTGATAAAGTGGGTCTCAGCTTGCACAGTTGACCATCCGTCCCTTGAGGAACTTAGTTACCTCTAACCAAATATTCCTTTCTTGACTCTAACCTACCCATGTTATCTAGATACCTTTGCTTCCTAAAAAAAAATCTCTACCAGGAAAGAAACCTTTCAACTGGACTTTTTGGAACTTATTTCCTTGCAACAGGTTTGGAAACAAAACTTTGAATTTGTCTCACAAAGAATTTGTCTGAGATCATTTTAAGATATGCTAATGATATTTTTATGTGCATATGTCTTAACACATAGCAGTTGGACACTCATATGTGTTACATACTGTGTTAAGGTGACAGGAGTTCACATATACCTTGGACATAGGCCTGTCCTCTAGAGGTCTCCGGTTGGGCACCTTTAACTGAGATCCTTAGACCCCCGAAGTTCAAAGTGCCCACGACGCTCCTGAAACTTCCCACAGAAACTTCCCCAGTAAGGGTATGTGCTGACGTGCATCGTTTCCAAGGGAGGAAACCAAAGATTCTATCAGGTTCTCAAAAGGGTTCTTAATCCCAAAAAAGCTTAACAGCAACTAGAAGAAAAGACGTAGAAACAGTGGGTTACAATGCAGCAATGGCAAGTGCTATGATAGAGTATAAAGGATTAGCAAGGGCCTCCTGGAGGAAGTGACACTTAGGTGTCTTTCCGTGTTAATTGTAGACTCAGTAAGGGCAGAAGCTTTGGTATGGATAGCCTCAGTATGGGATTATGTACAATTATGTACAATTCAAGACAAGACGGATCCACCTTTTTCTCCTCCTCTCCCTCCCCCTCACGTCTCTGCATAGTGCAGTGAAACATCAGCTGGAAATCTCAAGGTGAGTAAACTACGGCAGCGTTCATCTGCAGTGCAAACCAGCAGAGATGAGAGTTGGTCACGCACAGGAGGATTGGTCAAATAAATCTACGAGGGATAGTGGAAGCCAAATTTCCCACTGTCAGAGGAGGAAGTTACAAATACAGAAAAAGGAAAAAATTAAAAATTCAACCCTACAGTGTTAGATTGGAATCGGGGTATTGTGATGTATCAGTGTGAATTAGGATCTTCGATATATATAGGTGAGTATAGAAATGAACATAGCTATAAAGGTGAGTGTGTGTGTATTTGTGTGTGTACACACATATATTCTCTAGCTCTGCCCACTGGGAGAGCCTAGGGGAAGTGCTGCCCCAACAGCAATGAGCACACCTCGTGCCCAGAGCTTGGCTTCTAAAGATCGTTTTCCTTTAAAGGAACCAGGTCACTTGGGAAAGATGGCTGATTCCAGGGCTGGGACAGAGAACGAACAAGATGAGTCTGGAAGATCTGTTTTTTCCCTCAAAGCAAGGAAGGGCTCAGAGGAAGAGAAGGGGAAAGAGAAGGGAAAGAAAATATTTAACACTCCTCCTTCCCTCATCTCTGACTCAACATTTCTCTTTGGAATATTCTAACTTCTAGCCGCCCCATTACCTGCCACCCCAACACCTTAGCTGGCCTTGGTTCCACACTGTGTGGGGTGGGGGACAGGAAGTGGACACCAACTTTTATTCCCAGGATGAGCTGAGACTTTGCTGAATTTATTTATCAATTCCAGTAGTCTCTTGATTGAATCTTTGGGGTTTTCTAGATATATCATCAGCAAAGAACTATAATTTGACCTCTTCTTTCCATGTTTGGATATCCTTGATTTCCTTCTCTTATCTGATTGCTCTTGCTAGGACTTCCAGCACTATGTTGAATAGAAGTGGTGATAGAGGGCAACCTTGTCTGGTTCCAGTTCTAAGCGGGAATGGTTTCAATTCTTCCCCATTCCTCCAAACAGAAAATCAGCAAGGAAACAATGGACTTAAACATAACTCTAGAACAAATGGGCCTAACAGACATTTATAGAACATTTTACCCCAAAACTACTGAATATGTATTCTTCTCATCAGCTCATGGAACATTCTCTAAGATTGATCACATCCTAGACGAAAACATGTCTCAACGGATTTTTAAAAAATAGAAATTATACCATGTATCTTCTCAGACCACAGTGGAATAAAATTAGAAATCAATTCCAACAGAAACACTCATCTCTACAAAGTCATGGAAACTAAACAACCTATTGCTAAATGACGGTTGGGTCAAGGAGGAGATAAAGTTGGAAATCAAAAGATTCTTCAAACAAAATGATAATGGGGAAATAAATTATCAAATTCTGTGGGATACAGCAAAAGCAGTCCTGAGAGGAAAACTCATAGCCATAAATGCCCACATCCAAAAGACAGAAAGGTCACAAATCAACAATCTAATCAATAAACTCAAGGAACTGGAAAAGGAAGAGCAAACCAATCCCAAACCCAGAAGAAGAAAGGAAATAACTAAGATCATAGTAGAACTAAATGAAATCAAGAACAAAAGAATTATACAGAAGATTAATGAAACAAAAAGTTGTTTTTTTGAAAAGATAAACAAAATTGATGGGCCTCTTGTTAGATTAACCAGAAACAGAGAAGAAAGGACTCCAATAAGCTCAATCAGAAATGAAAAAGGAGAAATCACAACTGATATCACAGAAATACAAAACATCATCTCTGAATACTATAAAAATTTCTATGCTCATAAACTTGAAAACGTGGAGGGAATGGACAATTTCTTGGAAACACACAAACTCCCTAGGCTTAATCAGAAAAAAATAGAACTCCTGAACAGACCAATATCAAGCACCAAAGTTGAAGCAGCAACAAAAAATCTCCAACAAAAGTGCCAGACCAGATGGTTTCACACCCAAATTTTATCAAACCTACAAAGAACTGGCACCTATACTGCAAAAATTATTTCATACCAATGAGAAGGAAGAAATACTCCCCACTCATTCTACAAAGCCAGTATCATGTTAATACCAAAGCCAGGAAAGAACACAACAAAAAAAGAAAACTACAGAACAATATCCCTTATGAATATTGATACACAAATTCTCAATAAAGTCTTAGCAAACCAAATTCAGCTGCACATCAAAAAAATAATTCACCATGACCAAGTGGGCTTCATCCCAGAGATACAAGGATGGTTCAACATACTCAAATCTATAAACGTAATTCACCACATAAATAGAAGCAAAAATGAAGACTATATGATTCTCTCAATAGACAAAGAAAAAGCATTTGACAAAATTGAGCACTGTCTTATGATAAGAATGCTTAGGCATAGATGGGACACACCTTAAAATTATAAAAGCCATATATGACAAACCCACAGCCAACATCATATTTGTATTATTCTTCCAATTTTTCTGTAAGTTTGTTTCAAACTTATACGATGGTAACTGTAGCTATTAAAAACCCTCAGCTTAATAACTGGGACAAACCCTGGGAATAATAGTAATTGCTTCACCCACACAGTTGGAAATGTTCCTAGCAAGGAGGTTATACCTGCTCGGGAATCTTAAAAGAGAATCTTTTCACATTTTGATTAGTATCCCATTCCCAGAAAGGGATCAGTTCACTATTTGTCTCTGTGAACTCTGGTACTTAGCCTGAAAACCTCTCTTAGTTCCTTTTCAGAACTCCAGGTCTCTTTTTAGAGGTAGGTAGTTGCCTTTCTGAAAGCATGTGCTCCATTTTGGAACCATGCATTCCTTTGCTTGCCCAGATGGTCTTCCTCTAGTCAATATCTTTGCTTGCTTTCTAATATTTTTTAAATTGTATTTTCCTGTAACTATATGATTGCTAATGGACACAGATTTCTGGGTAGCAAAGCGCAGTCAACCATTTCACGAAAATCAGAAGAAAGAGCTCTGATAAATAAATAAGATTGAATTTTACCAAAAAAAAAAAAAGTCCAAAGTTTAAAAACAAAGCCCACTTTTAGCATGACCTTTTAAGAGAAGGACAAATCTAAAAGCAAAACATCTTACAAGATGACAACACACTTTCAGGAACCCAGGATCCCATGGTGGAATGATTACGGCTAGTACTGGTTATAAATCTTAGGAGGTTATTCATGAATTCTGAGTATCAGTTCACTGCTTATTTCTTGATTATCTGAATATTGGCACCTGCTCCTCCGCGGTCTTGGCATGACTTTGCTCCCCCATCCCATGTGGCCCCTGCTGACTCCCCGGGGAGCTGCAAAGCTGGGGGAAGACTCAGTTTACAAAATACTAGATGAGACCACTGCCAAGAAGTGCTTGTTCACCGCTCCTTCAACGGCAGGGGAATCTCCCTTTCCTTTTATGAGTGAAGCTGAAGAAAAGATTCATAAACGAAGCTCAGTCCTCCTCACCAACCCCAGCCCACACCTCCCAGCAATTGAACTTGAGAGAAAAAAAAAAAGACCTGGTCTGAAAAATTACCGCAAACTATATTGTCATCAAAAAAACACTTCCTATATTTGAGATCAGAGAAGTGAGTGAGAGGCACAATTTCCTGGCTGAACACACCAGTCTAATACTCAAAGAGAGCAGCTCCTGACTCTCACAGAGACCACATGGACCCACAAGGATGACGGCACAAGGGGATTGAGCCTTCTATCCACATCCTCCCAGCACGATGCAGAGAAGAGGCTGACGGGAAAGCTGGCCTTCTGTGGAAAAAGATCTCCTTTGGCTGCCAGAGCTCATCCCAAGGGCCAGGAAGATGGAGCCACACTTGCTGGTGTGGGGAGTGATCACATTCATCATGGTACCCTGCGGCAAGGCAGGTAAGAGTCCACGGGTGACCTTGAAATTCTTGGAATTCGGCTCTCCCTAGCCACAGAACCAGAGGGTCACCCAAGCAGACAGTTCCAAGAAGGGAGCTGGATTCTGGGTTCTGCTCTTGTCCTGACCTCATGTCAGGCCTTGGTGCCCCAATCTGTATAGAGGGCTTGGGACTCTGTTGGGTTCTCTTCTCTGTCACAGCCCTTGACAGTTAGTTCTGGATGAATAGAGTGGCACGATATCTGGGTGTTAACTGGACACCGATGAGTAGATTCCTCAAGAAATTTTCTTTTACTCTCCTGTGAATTTCCTGTTCTGTAGCACCCCTCATCCCCCAGCTGTAAGAGAAAAAGCTGTCAGGAATCTAAGTCCAGGTTAATTTGGCTGAGATGTTGGTAACTTGTATATGAAACACTGGGATAATTTAAGATCTCAGAAAAGTTCGGCTTCACGAATGTGTACTTTACTCTGACTGCCTCAGAAAATAAGACTGAGGAAGCTCCTTACAAGTGCAACTTTGCAGAAATTTCAGGAAATGTAAGCATACTCACTTTTAGAACATTACTTTTTCCTATGCGCCTGTGCATATATATGATGTATATGTATGTGTATGTGTGTGTATATGCAAATTTTGAATTTCATTCATCCTTTCAAATGGGTTTTCTCAAAGATTTTTTTTTAAAGTAATAAAAAACCACCAACTTCTACCTCAAACCACTCTTCCTAATTGAGTGTGAATTTTCTAATAATGTCTTCCCTTGCTTACCCAGGAGGACAGATAAGATATGAAAGTCTATAATTTCTCTTTTTTTTTGAAAGTCTATGATTTCAAGAAATAGAATGCTAACTGGCTGCAGAAAAAAAATATTTAAGAAGTGAAATATGATGATGCATTTAAGAAGTCTGTTTGCTAGTCTGTGGGAAGTGGCCAAGTCGTGTTGGGCTATGCACCGGCCTGGGTGTAGGAATGTTTCCACTTTGGAGTTAAAGTGAGAATGATCTGAGGAAGTTCTGGAATGTGATTTCTGTTCAGTGGGGTCTTTGCTGAGTCAGTCCAAGCCAGAAAAGCAAAATCTTTACAAATCATCATGCCCTATCTCTGGGGGACACATTTCAAGTCAATGCGTGTTATTTCTGGCTGTGGGTGACTTATCTGAGAATCTGAATGGTCTTGGTGGCAGCGGGGTGAGTGGAGTATCGTGGGGACTCTTTCATTCACTCAGTTCTCCAAAAATCTGTCTAATACCTCTTAGGCCCCTTTTCAACACTATAGGAAATAGACAAATGAACAAGACGTAGTCTGATCCTTAAGGGATTTGTAACCTAGGGAGCAGGAGAAAGGCATGGACACGATAACAGTAATACAAGTCAGAATGCGATAAGGTCTAAGGGACCACGGGGCTGTCAGAGTCAGCTTCATACAGGTGGCACAACAGAGCCCTGAGGGACTGCACATTTATTTCCGTGAGCAGAGACTCCAGACAGAAAGGGCCGTATGAGCACAGACACAGCACGTGGTCCGAGGTGGCTCCTACATTGATGGAGATGTGGGGAGATTGGGAATTAAGACTGGGAAGTTAGGAAGAGGTCAAATGAATGGTCCAAGGCCTCAGATAACAAGTTAGAAGTTTTTAACTTCATTTGGTAGGCAATACTAGAAAATTTTTTAAATGACCATTTATGGAGTACCTTCTATGTGCCAGACATACGTCTTAGTGTAATCTTCACAACCACTCTGCAATGCGGATGTCATGAACCCCTCGGTGAAGAACCCCAGACTCAGAATCACACAGGAAGGGACAGAGCCAGGGCTCAGACCAGTCTCCCGGGCCTGTTCTCTTTCTGTTCACTGCAAACAGGGTCAGAGCTCTATGGAGACGACTCTGGCACAGGGCGGAGAGAGGTCAGGTGCACCGAGACAGGTCATGAGGCTCTTAAAATAGTCCAACCAAGACGTAAATGAGCACCAAGCAGCCAAAGAGAATGCCAAGGATTGAGTTTCCGGGATCGGCAGGTGGCCCAGGAACCAGTCCAGGGCAAGGGGTCATCTCACCTCAGACTTTTTCCTCCAAAGGGAACCCAGTCCTAAAATAAACAAGGTTTCTTACTCCTCAGGGGTAAGAGCTCTCTAACGAAATCAGACTTTCAACAGATTCAATTTCTAGCTGATTCATAAGGCAGATTTTCATTCTGAAAATTTCCAAAGCCACCATTTAACATGGTGATGGGTTATGGGGGGTGGATTAGTCAACTCGGGCTTTGAGAGTCTCCGTATTAGTGGGCCCTGGGATGTGGTCAGAAAGAGAATTCTCCTGGTGTTGCCAAAACGGCACGTTATTGAAGGCGCTTTTCTCAGAAGTGTGGAAATTCTGAGAGTTTCTACGTCCCTTGATCATCTTTCTTTCATTCTAGGAATTCTGTGATCAGATCTGTATCCCCTAGACTCGAAAATTTAAAAAGAAACAACATAGTGCAGGAACCCATTATGATGAAATGTTTGTCTAATTATCCCTTCTTGTAAAGACGACTGCCCACACTGGGATTTCACATCTTCACCTTGTCATTTTTTTTTTTTTGGAGGAACCTAAGAAATATCATTCACCTTTGTCATTAAAACACAAAAGCTTTAACCTTTCCCATTTACTCTTTCAATGTCTCTAGATCCCAAAGTATTCTTACCACCGCTACCTTGTTCACCTTCCATCCGCAACTTGGAGACATGGGGCTTTGGTGTGCAATGGGACACCTCATAAAACCATCACCACTTTCCCTAAAGCAAGGTGTCTCCACTAGGCAGTTGGACATGTCGCCTATGCCTGTGCTTCATTTTAGCTTTGAGAGTTGAAAAAGAATTGGCTTTTAATTCTGTACTGAGAGCGTGGGCTTCATTAATGCGTCAGAGACGCTAATAAAAAACAGCTGATGGGCTCCACAGCTCAAAGAGTAGTCGTGGACTTTTTTTTTCCAGCCAAATCCTTGAGTATTCTGAATACTCCTGTGTGATTTTTTTGCTGAAGCCGTTCCTCCGATAGCCATAGACACCGTCAAGGCAGGCTCTCCCTCAGCACGGCAGCCGCTCGGGCTGACTCCCTGCTCCTTCATTGCCCCACGGTGAGTGGAAACTTTACCAAAAAGCAGAGAATTCACCTGAAGTCAGCGGGGGATAGAATTAGGAGGACAATAAACCTGGCAAGAAGCAGAAAGTGGGCCCAGGCACCTCCTAGCGACATTGTTGGAGGAAGAAAGAGAAGACAGGCGAAGGACGTGACTTTTGATGGATTTCTCTCTGTAGAATGAGAACAATGACCCAGAGATCTTGAAACTCCTTCCAGCCCCATCCCCACTGTGTCAGGGATTGTGAAAAGGAAATAAAATAAGCTCTGCTTAAAAGGCATTTTCAAGCTGGGGAATTTTTGGATGAAAAAGTTTCCCAACTGAAGACCTACCTACAGGGTCAGGGCTGAGCAACCTTTGAGTGTCAACAGACCAAGCCTAACGGCTGGTCGTAGGTTATTTCCAGCTCTTAAACGGTGCCGCGCTACGCTGGAGTGTGACCTGCCTCCCGTATAACTGCTGCCGCTGTAGGTGTCAAGCAAAAACACTAACCGTTGGGGAGGCCTTCTGCTGTTTGCTTGTGCAGGGAAATTTTGCCCTCAGACAATGCCCTTGTTTCCCACAGGAGAAGTTTTATATGAGCAGGAGCCTGTTTCTCTTCTCCTTATCCCAGGCCACTCCCCGAGAGAAAAGAAAAGAAGATTTAATTCGATTGATTGCTTCAAAAAGTTATAAGCCCCTCATCCCTGAAAGAGTTCAAATAGAGGGTTGACTAGAGTCCGAGCCTCTTAAATTTCAGTCCAGAATGCCCTGCATGTCCTTAAATTGATTCCAAGTGACAGTCCTTTGTCCATCCATCACCCACTAGGATCACAGGGATGAAAAAGCTTCCAGTCCTTGTCCTCAAACTGCTCGTGGGTTAACAGTGGAGGCGAAACATCTGCGGAGAGATTCCCATCTGGAAGCCTCCCAAGAGAAGCCAGGAGTGTCTGCCCATGAGTCAGCATCCATCCCTGAATCCCCCGCCAAGCTTTCAAGTAAATCACTCAGTTAGGGGAAAACAATTATATAATCATCTCTAGAAATTTTAGGTATTTCCCGCTCTAGGATTACTCAGATAGTTTTCGGCTATTTGATCAGTTTTACAATTACTCTGGGATTTGCCTTCCTCAATAAGAGAACACAATTCCCACTGGGAAACATATTTAGAGTAAGGGGTCGAACGCCAGCTGTGCATCAGAATGAGCACCTGGGATGCTTTAAAAAGTGATGTCCAAGACTGGCTAAGACCCATCAAGCTAGTCTCTCTGGGGAGCAGAACCAAACACAACAATAACTTTTTTTTAAGTTTCTCAAATCATTCAAGATTCAATTAGGGCTGAAAATCACCGGTTTAGAGAGACAGAATAATGATGCCCGTGGCTGGTCTGATTCCATTATTTTGTTTCTACTGACCAAGAATAGGTGCACTAGAGCAGCACTTTCCAAACCTTAATGCATTTACAAATCACCTGGGAATTTTGTCATAAAGAAGATTTTGATTCTGGCGCAAACAGGTTCCCGCATGAGGCCTGTGTCTTTGGTGCACGGACCCCGTGTTCAGTAGCTGGGCTGTTGCATGAGAGCAGAAATATGCATTGCTTCTACCCACATAGAACCCGGGATTCAAATGGGAAAACCAGTCTGGAAAAGATCAAATACAGGGTGTCCCCAAAGTCTCCATGCAGGCTCACGCCTGTAATCCTAGCACTCTGGGAGGCCGAGGTGGGAGGATCACTCAAGGTCAGGAGTTCGAGACCAGCCTGAGCAAGAGTGAGACCCCCATCTCTACTAAAAATAGAAAGAAATTAGCAGGACAACTAAAATTATATAGAAAAAAAATTATCCAGGCATGGTGGCGCATGCCTGTAGTCCCAGCTACTCAGGAGGCTGAGGCAGTCGGATTGCT